CTAAGTGAAAGTAGTATAAGAGAGCTAAACTGGTTGCAGTTGCTATCTTCAGCCATAATCAATTTCCCTGGTAAGTACTTACTGAGTTGTCACATGGTGTACGACTACGTACATACAATTTATTATAGTTTGTGGAGAAAAAGTTAATACATACATACATACATACATACAGATGTACATACGTACTCGTAAGAAAATACACGCGACAATGCTAGTTAACGCTATAATATATCTACTAACAATTTAACAAGCTCCTTATCGCACCTTGTAACTTATGCAGTCTAATACCTCGTAGTGTAGCTATGCGCACTGATATCGACTTGAAACGTCTAGTGACGTATACCACTCATACAAACTAGTTATGTAATATATCTACAAATCGAAAAGATTACCTAACTAAGTATACTATATATCATATATACTATATAGTATATATGATGCGGCGCATAACTATGTTATTATTATAGTTACGAATAAGCGAAAGTAAAATATTTGAGTTGAGAGATTATAAATATGTATAATGAATGTTGCATATCAGTTGCTATCTTCAACCATACTCGTATATGTATCATTTATAAATATTAATAAATAAATCTTGTAATAAAGTTTTTTTGAACACAGCGCAAATAACGCACCTTAAATTCTCATAATATAATTTTTTTAGAAATAGATTTAATTCTTATAGGTATTACGTTCAATTTCACTTACGATTTAATAAAGATCATAACTTTATAATGTACTAGCATTGCCCGCGGCTCCGCCTGCGTTCAGATGACCAAAAAGCTAATTCTTAGGTTTTAAATAATATTATTATACTCTCACAATGCAGTTTTTGTATTTTTTCTCAGAAATGAGATATTTTCCTGCGGTAAAAAGTATATTATACGTTGACCCGGATAACCAGCTATCACCATACCAAATTTCGTCAAAATCCCTCCAGTGGTTTTTCTGTGATGCGGTAACAGACAGACAGACAAACAAAAATTCTAAAAACTATAGATTCGGCCTCTGTATCGATAATAATGTCTATTTCAATAAGATTTTCCAAAAAATATTTAACGTACAGATTCGGCTTGGTTACAATTTTATTATATGTATAGATTCGTAATACAAAAATTACTATTTTTATAATGTAATTTTAGATTTGGTCGTTCTATTTGATAAAACTTATATGGGTTATGAGTTACGAGTAGCTTCAAATAATAAATAGTTCATTAATAGGTTTTGAATGATAACAGTAAACACGTTTACTGCTAATTGATTTATTTTGCCTATAATTATGAGTTCCCTTCGTTATTGTAATACGTTATTTTTTTTATATTTAATAGTTTTTATCTGTTATTTTGTATACATACCTTTTTTATATCGTCAAAATCACACCTCTACTAAGCTTAGATATATGAAGTCTAAATAAAATATACATCCAAAGAGATCTGTCTCATATATCATATATGTACGCGTGCAGATCTCACTCAAAAATTAGAAAATATTGTAAATGTTGTTATGTTCTATTATTGAAACTTTTTATTATATTGAAATACAAACTACATATATTATTATCACTTTTTTAGTACCTATTTTGCAAAAAGAAATACAATTTTTACTTTATCTAATTAACTTGAAAGTTGAAAACCTTTAAAAAACGCCGCAAATAAAATATCATTCATAATTTTCAGTAGAAGACAATTCTAGCAACGAAGGGTCGTTGTAAAGTATAATCCTATCAAAAGCATAACATGTAAAATAATGCAAGTTTCGCAACGCAATTCTTCTACCTCAAAAAGTTGTGAGATGTAATGTAAAACCAAGTTGGTTAATTTAGTCAGTACCTACGAGTATGTATGGAAGCATCCATCCAAGAACTTTGTCATAAATTGTTACATAACTAGTTAAATAACAACATCTTATAGTGACCGTATCAATATTAAATGTCTTTATTTCTTTAATGCCTCAACGACCGCGGGCACACCGGTGTTACAGTTAATAATTAATTTCTTAGAAAATTTCCGGATTCCTTAGAAATTCACCTGGAGGAGTTAATAAATACATCCTCTAATAATAACATACCTATCCACTTGAATAGGAAAAATTACATGAACTGCAAAAGTAACTTTTTAATCGCATATATCGCATATATATGTATATAGGATAACAAAGTTACTTAGCAGTTTGTTGTATATTTAGCAAACTGAACTGAATTGCGGGATATTTTAGTTTTTCCTTGCTTTATACATTAAACGCTAATTCTGTTCATAATATTCATAAATTTGAAGCTCGTGTGTCTGCTAGAAGTACCTTAGAATTTTGGTGATCGGTGAGTGATTTAGTGACGAAATTAAAGAACTTTGACCTGCAATAGTTCTTAAACTGCAGGTTCAATTTCAATGTAATTTGGGAGTATACCTAGTTATATTATGGTCTCTTAGTCACTGAAAATTCAGGCTCCAAGCTTTACCCACAACAAAGTTACAGGGGCATTGAAAATGTTCTAAATGGCTTCTAAAAAAGTGCTATGCCTCTTTTGCTCGACTTGGTGGGGGCACTGCCGTGCACCCAGATTACTATAGCATGGTAACGTTCTAGGCGCATTTGGCTGATGCACATGAACATGATGGATCACTAATCGCGTTAGATAGGCACTATTGTAACTTGTTTAATGAATTATCAGTTCAACAAAATTTTCATGCGAGTCGGTAAAGTCCCCCCGCCCACTAAACGAGCTATTAATTATGTTGAAGGATTTTACATTGATTTAATTATTGTAAACGTTTAATCAAAGTTTTCTATTGACGTTAATTTGATATTTACGTTATTCATACGATTTCTGAATAAGACGATATTTTCCTTTTTTTTAATTACATTTATTAGCTAGTTTTGTATCACGTGAATATAATAAAAATCGGTCAAGTGTGAGTCGAAAAACACGAAGGGTACCGTACCATCGTACATGTACTTAGTTTTTATTAATATAACTTTTCTTTTACTCTATGTATGTAGTATAATAACTTCGATGATCGATTACGAACGTAAAAAAAAAACGTTTCTTGTATTTTTATTTTTTTATTTTTATTATTTGATATTATAGCGGCAATAGAAACATACTCTGTAAAAATGTCAACTATCTACCTATTACGGTTCATGAACTACAGCCCTCTGACAGACTTGAGTCTCGAGAACTATGATTTTTATACAAAGTTTTATTCGCTATCTTACGAAAACAAAATGTTAAAAAAAATGAACGGACTATGGAAACGTCCCATCCCCGTTCCCTACGGAATTTGGTTACGCCCTTAGCTCGTGGCTCGCGATAGTCAAACATGCTTTCAACCTCAGTCTCTTAACTCTTTCTGTTACTTATGTATTATTTATTTTTAAAAGTTTTGCAATCCCACTTTTTACGATTCATGACAAATGCAATGGTAATGAAAAATGTTTTTAATGTTATATTTAATTATAATTTATGAATTCTAAATTTAACGAGAAGGTGCTTACTTAAACTTGCTAAGTTTGTACACAAACACTTTTGAAGTGTGGGGTAAAAAATACTGAAAAAATATTAAGAAAATACAAAATACTTTCAACGAAAATGATTTTAAAATAGATAAGTAGTTTTTGAGATATTTTCTGTACCACGTCGGCCTCAAAATTGAAGTTTTTGTAATCAATGAAATGAAATTTGTACATGGGTAAATATTTTATTTTTCTTCAAATGTAACATCTTACGTATGCTGAATTAAATATAAACTTAATATTTCTGACAGAGATGATATAACAACTTCTTTAATTTTATCCTTCAAAACGCTCTTTTTGATGGTAAAATGGTGTATATGTACATATGTATTATATATAATATATTCATCTCATCGTTATCACCTTCATTCATTTCTAGGATCATCATCACCGGTCATTAGATTGATCCCAAAAAGACAATACTTTCTCGAGTTACAAAACTTTCTCGAGTTCATCACATTATAGATAATGTTCACGATTACATATGAATTTCAAAAGGCCTTGAACCCTTCACCGTTTGGTAACAGTGCTGATGAATAATGAAAAGCAGCTTGTAGTGATATTTTTTTTGTAGTAAATGAAGTGTCCGCATTAACATTTGCTCAAGGTGACCGCGCTCGGAGTTGCGGCTGACTGAACATCGACATCGGTTAGCGCATTGTTTGTAGCACCTTCATGTGCCTCATCTCATCCTAGAGAGTTCAGTAGTTTGTTTAATTATCGTAAGAAAATTAGATAAAAACCATGATTAGATAATTCTGTAATCTGCACACAATTTATATTGTACTTTTAATTACTGCTTATTTAGAGAGATACCTATGTATTTATATTGTTATCAAAAACATTAAATTGAGATCATTTTTTTGTAATAATTACGTAGATTACATTACAATATAATTAGTAATAGGGAATATGCATGTGATTTATTGCCTTTATTGTCTTTGAATTAAGCCTATATCAATATTTAATGTAAATATTAATGTAATTTCTTCTTGATTAAAAAAATAACAATAGTTACAATATAAATAACAATAGTTAACAATAGTTAACAATAGAAAAGTGCAAATATAGGTGGGAAAATTCAAAGGTTTTGAAACGCACGCCATTGGTCAGTCCGAATGTGACGTCAAAGTATTATCGTAACAGAGCGATTAGCGAATTTGTCGCTACAAATTGAGTCGTCATTTTTCTGTGTATATCATACTGTGACGTCACGCCAAGAGCGCAAACTGGCGGGTGTTTAAAGTATCCCTATCAGTATGATACTTTTAATTTTTCTTTATAATAAATTTTAGTTTTTTGGAGCTGCATATTTTTTTATTGTATAAAAAATTTAAAAGAAAGCATATACCCTGTTCACATTTACCGTTAAGCAGATTTAGATACGTGGTAAATTTATATTTTAATATAAAATGATGACTCTGTTGAACTATGTTAAATTACTCGTAAAAGAAAATGAATATATTTAAAAAAAATTTTTTTTTTCGCAGGCGAAGAATAGAGACGTACCGAAGGCGCCAGTCTGAATGTGTGCCAAGATTCGACCAATCGTTTAGTGGGGCATGCGAACAACAAAATTTGGAGACGAGTGCTCTTCAAAAACGTTTCCTGGAAGGCAAGGCAAAGCGCCAGGCTAAAAAGACTGAACGGAAGCCCGATCTACCGGCCATCAGTAGTAATCTGCACAGCAGCGTGCATGTGAGCTGTGTGAGCTATTTTACATTATTTTTTTATTATTTTTACGTACACATATATTATAAAATTATTAAATATTCGGTGTATTTATATAAATATATGTAATATTTATAGACATATAATAATAAATCATTAAAAAAAATCTATTTTTTAGATTACATCTGTCTAAATAATACAATCATTTCAAGAAAAACTTATTTATTTTAAATTTGATACATTAGGTTCCTGGGTATTTGGACATATATATTATTACAACTGGTCGCGCGATTCGTCTGAATGTCACCTTGGATATTTGACCTCATGTTTCCTTTGATTTCGTACATGCAAAAGTATAAGTATCTACCTACATCATACATATATGTTTACACATATGACAATAAATTCAAATTACGATATTTATAATTGAATTTGTGTGTAATACTCGAAATTTGAGGTAAGAAGACTTATTTGAATAAACGACTTATTCCCTTCACCATTACACCAACCTTGCCAATCCCTATACTACTATACTACGTGCCATATTAAAGGTACTACGATTGATCGATTGCATATAACCTTGCCGTCGAAGTTCTTTTACAATGACGTAAGTTCAACAGTGCATGTACAGTTTTGCAATTTTCCGATAATTTATTTCAACTATAAAATATATACATAGATACTTACATAGATATATTTTTAATAACAAGAACCCATCACGCTTCAATCTACAATTAAATACTTTAAAAATAATGAAATAAACTATTGTTACGAGCTAGGGTTCTAAGATCAGAACTTGAATGTAGTCATCTATATCTAGGTACTAATATTATAAAAGGCATAGTTTGTTTATTTGTTTGAACGCGCTTATCTTAGGAACTACTGAACTTATTTGAAAAAGACGTACCTAGAGTCGAACCCGAGCGAAGCGAGGGTGAGTCGCTTGTTTATAATATAGATGTTTCATAGCTATTACGTACACAAGAGCCGCTTAAAACACACATGCACTATAACGCTAATTTCATTTCTAAGGTTTTTTCTAAGCTTTTTTTCAATTCTAAATGTACATATGTATTTCACCACGGCTTCAGGTACCACTATCGCTGAACTTAAGTTTTCACTGAATGAGAAATCCGCAATTTTTTTCGAAAAATTGCACTGTCTTGGGTAATAATAATAAAGATGAGATAAACATTATAATGGAGTGAGTGTCCAGTGCCCCTCAATGTACTAGCCTTCTCACGATACCTGAGAGCTAGCAGGTATTTGGCATCAGAACTAACATAATCATGGTGACAACAAATATATGAGGATTAAATATCTTTCTTAGTCCTTGCGGAAAGTAGATAATTGCTACTTACTGTCCGACATTTATTGTCATATTTTTGGAAACAAATGTATGGAAATATGTATATCATATACACCGCTAAACGTGTATATAAGTTGGTACGGGTAGCTGTGCTAACTGCGAATGTTGCCAAGCGACTCGCACGAGCGTCGGCTGACGCAGCGGGCAATGAAAACAAAATTATGAATCAGTGCATGCCAAGGTACGAGCAAATAGTTTACAAACCAAAATCGTTTAATTGTGTTTGCCGCGAAATAATGGAGATAGAAACTTCGGTTGCAATAATATTTGTTAGGCGAGTTCAATTGTATATTTTCTAAAAGTAACCTGAATAAAGTCTGTATTTCTTGCATTTATTTATCTAGCTAGTTCTTCAATGTATTTCTGGCAAATATTCTTTCTTATGAGATAATACAAAACTTACCACTTTTGTCAAGGACTGTCCGTGGCTTGCCATACCACGTCACAGGAATTGCTACTCCATCTGTTGGACCATCGTTCACGCCCCATTCCCGTAGCCAGGACTTTGCAAACGATTCATATTTTTTGGAGAATATCTTGAACACCACCTATGTCATAAATAGCTATTACATAAAATAATAAAGCATGAAATTACCTGCAAAGACATGGAATAAAAAGACCTCTATTTATAACCAATTGTGACATAGGCCTGTTGGGCCTCGTACCATATTGATATGAGAAAAAAACAGACCTCGCTTATTGTGGTACTCGAAGTGATTCGGAAATTTAATTAGTAACTTTAGTTAATACTTGAAGGTGTATTCCATACAGTATAGACGCACATGGTGAAGATTTTGTGATTGCCCTAGGAATTTCTTACTAAATGATTCTTAGTCTTCTGAGCTCTGTAAGTACCTAATGATTTAACAGTATTGTTATATTTTCTGAAAAATCTGACTTGCAGTTAGTTATTAGGTGTTAAGAGTATGTGTTGATTTAATATTACTTAGACACATAATAACCCTAAAAAAACCAAGAAAACCCAAAAAGAAAGTCTTAAAAAGTAACAAAAAAAAATATTTTTTTCTTTTTTAAATCTTGGTTTTCAGAATTATATGCCCTAAGTGTCGAAACTGCCTAGCCTGTAACATAACTAGAATTTTTAATACTACAAATATAGAGCTTTCTCACCCTTCAGTAAGCAAAACAGTAAGAGTATAGTATTGTATTTTTTCTAATAAACTCTTTTATTAAATTTAATAGTCGCTAATATTAACAACAAGACTAATAGCAGGTGCACCGAGTGATGATAGCTAAAGCAGCACGTGCTGGCAGGGTCGCGTCGAATCGCGCCCGGATGTAACCCGATGTCAATTGACTTGACCCCTGCCATCACATCCCGTGCTTCGTTTAGTTTCACATCACATAATAAGGAAAACAGTACGTAACTTAGCGCAACGAATAAAAAACTACTAGTAGTCTAATAGACACTGTAGTAACATTATATAGGAGAATAATATCCCCTTTCGCGTAAATGAAGAGCAAGAGATGTTTGATGATGTGAGACTTTTTATATACATGTTTTAATCGTTCACCACCAGGACTCTTTCTGCCCAAAATGTTCTTCATATAAATTATGAACAAGCTAAAGCTCAATATTTTTGGTAAGGAATTTAATTAAGCAATAAATAATTTAATATTCATATCACTTCTCGATATTGGCAGTGGACATTTGATACATATGTATATTGTATGTATCCTATTCTATCTTCAGAATATAGGATGAGATGATGGAGGTGCGGAAGGTTAAAAAATATATTTGTGTAATATAAATTACTAGCATTGCTCGCGGCTCCGCCCGCGTTCAGATGACCAAAAGCCAAATTCTTAGGTTTTACATATTAGTATACTCTTACATTGCAGTATTGTTGACCCGGATAACCAGCTATCGTCATATCAAATTTCATCAAAATCCCTCCAGTGGTTTTTCTGTGATGCGGTAACAGACAGACAGACAGACAGACAAAAATTCTAAAAACTATAGTTTCGGCGTCTGTATCGATAATAATGTTTATTTCAATAAGATTTTCCCAAAAAATATTTAATGTACAGATTCGCTTTAGTTACAATTTTATTATATGTATAGATAATATGCATAATTCCGTTACTCCTATGCTCATAGCAGCAGATCTGTAGGGCTGCGAAGTGTAGTTGTGCAAACTGAGCGGTTGCACAACCGTCGCCTCGCATTGTCTCTTGCCGTTCACTGCGACGACCTCCAGGAGTGTACAAATTTTTGTACTATCGCTTTAATATTCTAAAGATATGTTCGTTGTAAAATCTCGCATAGAAAAATATTGCATTATAAAATTTCCATCGTGTAGTGTTTTGTCACGTGCAGTTTAATTAAAGTTTGCAGATTACTCTGTAATAAAACTCGCAATAATTATTATTAATATAATAATGATTGAATGTTATCATTGTCGTGTGACTACCATACAAGAATGCGTGATCAGCAGTTATACTTGCACGGCTTATAAGTTACAACTCGTAATATTTAAATTTTGTAGTTTTATTAATGTATGCATTAATAAACAGTACTTTGAACTCGTTTAGAATTGTAGTATAATAAAAAAAAAACTTAACATTTAAAGTACTCGTATATCAATTTTTGTGATGAATTTTAATTAAAACAATATGCTGGCTAGAAGTCGCGTAAATATACGACTGATATAACGAAGAGCACTTGCTTAATCTTAATACACGTTTAGCAGTAAATGTTAATATTTGCACACGTGATCTCACCAAGGTCTGGCCACGCCAAAATCGAAATCACAAATAGTGATGACGAATTTTTAGATAGCAATTATTGTCTTGTATTAATATAATAACGCGCACTATATAGGGCATGTGGTAACACTGTTAGAGGTCTATGATAAAAGTTGGAGGTTCTATAGGAGATAAAAAATTATAAAAATTGTTTTGTATTGCTCACATCTTAAGAATTATAATAAAAGTGATTTAAGAGACTAGACTTATAATTTATTAACCAATAAATACAACAGGGCATATTACTATAAGTACCTATTCTGTGTCTTCTTTTGTCTATAGGCCTATATACATATAATAAAATTGTAACTAAGTCGAATATGTACATTAGATATTTTTTTTGGAAAATCTAACTGAAATAAACATTATTATCGATACAGAGGCCGAATCTATGGTTTTTAGAATTTTTGTCTGTCTGTCTGTTACCGCATCACAGAATAATCACTAAAGGGATTTTGATGAAATTTGGTATGATGATAGCTGGTTATCCGGGTCAACATATAGGATACTTTTTACCGCGGGAAAATATCTCATTTCTGAGAAAAAATACAAAAACTGCAATGTAAGAGTATACTAACTGTAAAACCTAAGAATTTGGTTTTTGGTCATCTGAACGCGGGCAGTGCTAGTATATTATAAATAAATAGTGGATAATATACCTTATTTTCTAAAATATAAACGATCTACATATTTTCAATTTAATGTTTTATCTACTATTTTCTAATTAAATATGTAGAGAAATGGTATAGTATGTATATATTTTGTCCTTTCTGTTTTTATATTATAGGTATACAAGATAATATTTTTTGTGTATTATTTAATGTCGTTTTAGATTCGTCTTGTACCTACTTATTAATATATATTTAATACGTTGCTATAATTTAAGTATTGTTGTAATTTTTCATTTTTATACTTTTTTTTAATATTACAATTCATCATCATTAATCATTAATTTTGATTATTACAATTAATTCAAAATACTTTGTTACAGCAACAAAAATTTGGTTGCGGCGACTATGAACCTCCACCTAAAGTGCAATGCGGCGGTAGCGGCACCGCTGGAAACGGTGGAAGTGAAGGGCTTACTAAATTCTCCGTCGAAATCGTTCAGCAGCTTGAGTTTACAACATCCGCAGCGGACTCGCAACCGCAACAAATCTCAACGAATGTGACGGTGAAAGCGCTCACCAACGCGGTGAAAACATCCGGCTCACCACCGCCGCCGCAACCTCCGCGCGTATCGTCCCCCTTGGACTGCGAGCGAGAGTGTAAAGCTGAATGCAAATCAGAAGTCGCTGACGACGAGTTCGTGGGGCTCGATGAGTGTGCGGCGGCTCTAGAACGTGATGCCGCCTCGGCTTTCCCAGGTCTTGCAGATCTCATAGGTGAAGACGACGGCGACGATGCCTTCGAATACCTCATGACTGAGATATCAGAATATCCGGAACTAATGAAAGATTTCGATCTCGACGGTGGGAAAATGAACGGTGGAGGTGGTCTAGGCCTTGAACCGCCGGAGGGAGAGCCAGCCCCGCGGCCTTACGGCGGCGGTGAGATGTCTCCTGCTGCGCAAACATTAAAGCATATGGCAGAGCAGCATCAACAGGCGGCTGGGGGCGACTGGTCTCGATATCGCGGGTATGGAGGGTACCGTCCTCGACCAACACCTCCTACAATGGACCACCTGCATATGTCACAACAACAGCAGTTGCATCTTTCCCAGCCTCATCATAATTTACAAGTTAGTACTCATTATGTATATTATGCTCACTCCTTTGCACATATCGTTGTATACACGAATGATAAAGTGTATAAAAATAAAACCAAAAGGGTACAATCAGCAATAACAATTGCAATTTCAATTCTACGCGCAAATATTATAAACGCTAATGGAATAATATCTCTTCCGGTAGATTATGTATAGCCCGTATAGCATTAGCATTGATAAAAATGATATTAAGTGTTATCATTTATACGTCTGGGTGGAGTCCGCGCCGTTGCGCTGCTTCCGCACGTCATAAATGTATGTAATATTGCGTTTAGTAATTGGAAGTCTTCTTTATTGGGTAATTCGTGACGTGAAAGGACATAAAAAACATGGGAGTCTGGTGTATTATCGACCGGGGCCAGTGTGCGCGCGCTGCTTAGTGCCGGCCACTCGCTGACTACGAAGGGTTAGAAATAAATGCGTCTCGAGTTTCGAGTCTCGACTATCCTTACCCTCATCTTCTACCAGACCTGACTAACCGCTCTCAAAGCCGCAAAGGAATTTCATGGTTTTAAAAACTTACATAATCTAACATATATATTAAATATTAATATTTAATCGTATATAAACTTAATACCTACGTCTAATTGAACTACCTATTGACGTATAACTATTAGCAATTCTAAAAACTATTGGGGCCAAATGGCTAAAAAAATGTACACACTTTTGATTAAATTACCTTATAACTAATGTGACTTGTATAAAGATATTGAACTAAAGTTCAAATAGATTTTGCGAATCGCAGAAGTATTTGGACCACATGTTCGATTTTGTCGAAACTTTAAATATAGAACCACAACACACACATTAAGCAACACCACTGAGTAAAAAATTTATGTACATTTAATATTTTACACTTGCCGTCGTCCTTTTTATTTATTGAATTTGTAAGCAATGTTTGTTTTTTGGGGTCAATGTCTGATAATACTCGATAGTAAGAAATCGAAATATGTAACATGTGGAATGATGCTAGTACTAAAACACAGCGGCATGGCATCAAAAGTATAGGAATAAAGTAAAAAAAAATATACCCGCTATTACTTCCTGCATTGACAACACGTGTCCCACCCACTGTCATCTATCTCGACACTCTCTTAATTAAAAACGCTCTATGTGTATGTAGTAGGTATCTACTTACCTATTTCATCGTATATATATCGTATTTTTATACTTACATTTTGAAAAGTCTTATTCAATTGTTATTTTAACGTATTCGAACAAAGCTTAGTAAAAGTTAGATTATATAAATATTTCCATTACTGGTTACCATAAAATTTACTCGTTACTTATTTGTTCAGTAAACTATAAATTACAAGGTTTCAGCAATAATGAAGCCATAAAACTTCTGATTAAAGATCAAAAAAATTCGAAGCTAATATTCAATATAATGGTTTAATATTAGAATGAACTTTAAGCTCTATCTAACGTGGGTGTTAGTGACGTTGGCTTGTGGGCGTAATACACGGACCGCTAGATAGCGCCGATACCTGACGTCACGCTTATTCAAAAGCTAAACAGTAAAATGTTACAAATAATCTTTCATTACTTTTTCTACAAAATCAAAAACTTACTTAATTCTATTTTATCAGAGTCCACACATAGTACAATGATAATTGTAAAGTAATGAAATCATGGCTTGAAATTCCGCACACAGAAAATCTTAAAGAATGTTTTTTTTTTTAATTTTTACATACTAATAGCCAGGAAAAAAAGAAGCATATACCATAGGGTAGGTGATAACATACATACTTAATACTGAAAGCTTACTTAATTCACCTTAATATATTGCTAATAAAAATCTATAATTCATATAAAATGTATCTGGTTATACATAAAACCTGTACCCTGTCCAATATGTATGTTTAAGTCGTTAATACATTTAATTAAGTTCATATATTTGTGTGAATCAGATCAAACCTACTCCTTTCAAGTGCATTGTAACGGGAAACCGGCTAAAGTTATAAAGCTCTATAGAAATGTTTCTCATTGGTTAGTTCACTATTGTAGTTGCATCGCGTCGTGATAGCGGGTCGGGTGCGCGCGGAAAGACGATGCGCGATAGATAAGAGTTGCCGTTAGCTTGTCTAGCTGTACCTGTACAATACAGCTCAGCGGCTATTACGCATATTATATCGAGCCGACGAGTGGTAGGCAGGAGAGCGGAGCGGGGCATGGAACAGGTTTGCGCGTCGGGCGTGGATGTGTGGATATATGTCCATCGCATCTTCAAACAGGCAGCTGTCAACCGTAGAGACATTTCGTGCCTTTTGAACAAGCAATACGAATCAAAGGAACGCTAAGGATGTCTATAAGCGATTTTTTTAACATTATTTTTCCGATACAGTCCTTTTTAGAGGCGGATAGCAATGATAATCATTAACACTATTTTATATTATTAGTGAAATAAAGAATTTCTATTTTAATGATAATTATTATTTTGGTATTAGTATAAAAATATAATGTACTGAACTAAATAGGTGATAGATATCACAAAATCTAAAAAAATAGTAACTTTGAAATTTAGGTATTCGAGTAAAATAGATCCGCAATAACAGGTTTTTACGAGACCATGGGTGTTTGCTTACACATAATAAAATACGTGCAATAAAGATTCAGGTGAACTTTATGACGTCAATGTCCTTTGTCCAAGCTACACGTTGTAAAAACCATATTTTTATTTTACATTTAACTATTTAATCAAATCTTGGAAGTCGATTTCAACCTATTTCTAATTGTCGTATCGATTTGAAACTTTGTATTCGATGGCGATAAAATAATTTGATACCATAGAGATGAATGATGGTTTGATGATAGAGCGAGGAGCTGGATAGTGAAATTCTTTAATGGATACTATGAAAATAAGTACTAATCCAAGATATAAACTGTCATAATATTAGTATAGATATTATAACGCTGTCATTCGGTTACAACGCTATGACGGGAGTACATTTTTTTTCCTTTTTTTTTTAATATTCTTTCATTTTTAGTTTAGATATAGTGGTAGCAAAATAAGAATAAAGTGTTTCAAAAATGCAGTAGATAAGAAGTCAATGATCCTTATTTTCTGCACTTAGTTTTCTTTTTTCAAATTTAAATGGGCCCAGTTCGGTATAAACCTCTTTCGAAAAATAAAGAATTCTGTAAATCCGTCTATATATGACGGATTCATGTCCGAACCTATGTAAAAATATAAATATTCGAATTGAGAAACTCCTGATTTTTTGAAGTCGGTTAAAAAGAAACTACATTCCATGCACCTAAACAACTTTTAATTATAATTCAAATCATATCATAATAGGTATCAGCAGCTCAGCACATGCAAGTTAGTGGTTCTGGGGGTGGCCATGTGTCGGCTGCGGCGCAGCAAGGCATGTACGCCTCTTTCCAGCATCAGGGTACGCCTTCTCCGCAGCATCATCAAGGTAAGCAGTCTACACGTGAATAACTTTAAATATATAACTCTACTAGCACTGCCCGCGGCTCCGCCCGCGTTCAGATGACCAAAAACCAAATTGTTAGGTTTTACATATTAGTTTACTCTTATATTGCAGTTTTTGTATTTTTTCTCAGAAATTAGATATTTCCGCGCGGTAAAAAGTATCCTATAATATGACCCGGATAACCAGCTATCACCATACCAAATTTCAGACAGACCGACAAACAAAAATTCTAAAAACTATAGATTCGGCCACTTTATCGATAATAATGTTTATTTCAATAAGATTTTCCAAAAAATATTTAATGTACTGATTCGGCTTAGTTACAATTTTATTATATGTATAGATATAATAAAATTGTAACCTGATTGTATATTTATTATTTTTAAGATACCTTCTAACTTATAAGTCAACTTCAAAATAACTATTAGGTGCTAAGATTTTATATAAGTTTATGTGCGTCATCCCTGAAGCCTTTCGGGTTAAAGCTATTTTATTTCCAAATTAATAATAATAATTTAAACGCTGGTGATTCTAAATAAAATCTAGATTCGGCATGATATTATGTAATATTTTAAGTTTTTTTTGAACATATTTAAAGTTTTTGACTTCTTTACATATTTGGTAAAAAATTGTAAAGTTGTGCTCCCTCAAATGTAATAGTTTTTATTCCATGTTTGGGCTGAGACTTAGGCAGTTTAATTTTGTGTATGTTTCTGGTGTTGCGTGAGTGCGTTTTAGTTTGAAAAGTTATTTGGAAATGAATGGTTGTAGTGATAATTTTTCTTATTAGTAGGTATGCATGTCTTATATTTGTACATTTCTTTATTGGATAGTAATTTAGTATTTTTTTTCGTATATGTATATTTTTTGTTGGCGTACCCCATGAACGAATTAGTCTCTAATTCGTCCATGGGTAATCCATATGGTATAATATTTTTAGTAACTTATTTTGAGAAATTTTTAGATTTTTGACATTTGTTCTAGCAGTACCTAACCCCACATTTCTAAACGGTATTCTGAAACTGGTTTTATTAATGTATTATAAATAATATTCGTACTTTAGGAGGAATACAACAAGTTAATTTCCGATGAGCTGTGGGAGACATTATTTTAGAGTGGAGAGAATCTATATGATGCCGCCATACCATGTTAAGTTTTTATCTAAACTTAATCCTAAGTGCTTTTTATTATTTCTTTATCAATTACTAGATCTTGAAAAGATAGAATAGGTTTATTTTTTGCTGAAAATAAAATATACGAAGTCGAACGAACGAAGAAGAAGTAAGTAAATTTTAGCCATTCATTTAAGACATTGAGATTGTTTTGAGCGATTGAATAGATTCATTTAGATTTTAAAAAACATATGTCGTCCGCATATAAGGACACTTCTCGAGACAATGGTAAACAACTCATGTCGTTGATATAAATTAAGAAAAATAAAGACCCTAATATTGATCCTTGTGGTATTCCACGAGTAATCAATCCTTTAATCTTTGATACACCTTTTTTTGGTGACGGTTAAAAATTTCTTAAATTTCATTTCAATCAGTCGAAGAGTTCTAAAGATATTCATTATTTATTGTAGTCTTATTATAAGCAAACCGGATAGAGTCGTAAGAAGTACATAGAAGTAAAGATAAAGTATACGACATAACGTTAATATTTTTGTGCATTTTTCCCATTCATAATTTTAAGCGTTATTATTATTAGTATATATTGGGAATATATGTAGACAGACATATGTATATATTTTTGATCTAGAGTAGTTTATCGTTACTTTCACAGATATTGTGTTTACGATAAAGTATTTTCTCTAAATGTTGAGTATTTTCACCAATCTTATGTCTTGTTATATGTTATTCATTTCTTTCATATATCGTTTGGTTTTATATTTTTTTGAAAACGTTGAACTGTTCTAAGGTATGTTTAGGATCGATTTCGTATAAATATTTGAATATTATTAGCGCATCTTCCATTGCAAGACTAACTATAACTAACAACGTAATGTTGCGTGCTGAGTTTATTTTTCATAACACACTCAGTACAATGCACTAAGGGTATGTGTATTTCTACTAGCTTGACTGCTGTTAGAGCCATTTGTTTTTGAAGTGTGCAAAATTGAACCTTATGCTCGCGTGTTAAATAGCAGAGCATGTGTTCAAGCGCAGTAGCTGTTCGGTTGATCTGTGAACGGGGGGAGGGTACTCTCTGAGGTTGACGATCGGCGAGAATGCGCCAAGCGCGCACTTCAGGGATGACATACATTGAAGACTTTATTGCGTTCACTCTATAAGCTACTTTGGTTATGGTTTTTTATTTTAAGTTATAGGTACCTACATATGTTCGCTGTATCGAGTACAGTCATATTATATCCAGATTTGAATTATTTGTTTTTGTGTTGTTGTATAGGAATTTTGAGATTAAAAAAATTATTTAATTTTGTATAGGTATTATAGGCGTCGTAAGTATAATGATGAATAGCAATATAGCAACAGCACGCTTATCATGAATAAATAATTACTTAATAGGTACGTCATTAAATAGAAAACGTTTCTACTTATTTAGTAACTTAACTATGATTATATAATCATTTTAAATTAAACGTCACATAATGTCTATTCATATTTAAAACTATACATATTGTTGAACAAGAATTTATTGAATACTTAATGGTAATTTTATATATAATTTGCTTTAATTTTAAATTTAAATTTTATTAGACTTTATTGACGGTTAATAGTTTAGTACAGATTTCTCAGAAATGAGATATTTTCCCGCAGTAAAAAGTATTCTATATGTTGACCCGGATAACCAGCTATCATCATCATACCAAATTTCATCAAAATCTGTCCAGTGGTTTTCTCGTGATGCGTTCCCAGACAGACAGACGAAAATTCAATAAACTGTATATTCGGCCTCTGTATGGATAATAACGACTATTTCAAAAATATTTTTCAAAAAATATTTAATGTACAGATTCGACTCAGAATTTTATTACATGTATACATTTATATTCCATTATTCTGTTACATTAGAAGTAGAAGTAGACTTTGAAAAAGTATTACTATTATATATTCTTTATTACTTGACAGTGATAAAGATTACAAATTGTAAGTACCTACATATATATATATATATATATATATATATATATATATATATATATATATATATATATAAAATTATTTCTATATAAATGATTCATATTTTTATCACTGGTTATACTTACGTAAAAACACACACATACATATTATGAGCAATAATTTTTTTTCATATTAAATATGCTCTGTGTATTTGATATTTTTTCTCAAATATATTTATAACACAAAATGATTTGATTAAATTTTATTTTTTTGAACTTACTCTCCCATATTATTAAATCAATATGGTGTTACACTACTTTTTGGCTATTTAATATGTGATCGTTGTTCATATTGTTATATTTTTCGGTTATATAGGTAGCGGATGTGACACGTATTCGGTGTCTCAGTCGCAGAGTATAAATTTCTCCCCATCGATGCGGTCTCGGCCCACTGGACCCACGCAGCAAAACACCTCAGGACCTGGACAAGGACCACCTCTTGGTAAGAGACATGATTAGGATTATAAAAGAATGTTATTATTTTACAGCTATACACAATATAACTGGAAATGACTGAATTATTTCTTTGTTATCTTCGTTACAACACATTTTGTATGATACGTACTAGATGACGTATTCCCTTATCGGACTAGATCAAGCAAAATATGTACAAAAAACTGTAAAATTATAATCAACTTTAATCCCTCCACGACCGTGGACACGCCGGCGTGTCAGTTAATAATAGATTTCTTAAAGTTTTAATTAATTTTTTGCCTCGGTGGTGTAGTGGCTAGCATGTACGGCTGCACTCTCGGAGGTGCTGGGTTCGAGTCCCGGGTCGGGCCAAGTTTAGTTATTGAGTCTTTCTGTATACTAAGCCTCAGTAAAAGCCCGGAGTTGGGAAGTTGGCGGTGTTTCACACCCGTGCCTCGGAGACCACGTAAAGCCGTCGGTCCTGCGCCTTAACTCTCACTGGTCGTGTCAAGTGATCGTCCCACCAGAGTATGAGTCTATAAGAGTAACAGGAATAGAGAGTGCACGTTGTGTCTGCGCGTTCACTTGTGCACTATAATATCTCCTGCGTAGTTGGCTAGTCTCAATGAGATTGGCCGCCGTGGCCGGAATCGGTCAGGAGAACATCAATTAATTTCTTAGAAATTTACCTGGATGTGATACGTTTGCCTCGTCACGTCGCCTCGTGGGGTTGACAGTGTTATCTGGTACATAAATAAATTCATTAGAGAGGGTATTTTAGTATATATCTCAGTTAATGTTATTTTACGACTACTGATTTGATTGGTTGCAATTACTGGTTTATAAATTTGCTCAAATGAACTACGTTATTACCAAGAACGAAATATGTACGTATAATTGTTTTTCTATTGTATGGATAGTGGTATTACATAAATTTATTCTAGCCTTACATCATATAAATAAAGTAGCATTGAATGCCCGCGTTCAGATGAGCAAAAACCAAATGTTTAGGTTTTACATATTGGTATACTCTTACATTGCAGTTTTTCTATTTTTTCTCAAAAATGAGATATTTTCTCGCGGTAAAAAGTATTTTATATGTTGACTTGGATAACCAGCTATCACCATACCGAATTTCATCAAAATCCCTCCAGTGGGTTCTCTGTGATGCGGTAACAGACAGACAGACAGACAAACGTTCTAAAAATTATAGATTCGGCCTCTGTATCGATGATAATATTTTAATTTAATTTCAATAAGATTTTCCAAAAAATAATGTACAGATTCGGCTTAGTTACAATTTTATTATATGCATAGATAACTACCTACTTTGTTTCATAAAAACAGTAAATGTTAGGCAATAGATTAAAAGTAATGTGGAGAAAATTACTCTTACATAATGAGTAATCAATCTTTTGTAGCGATTAACAATATGGAGAAAACGAATATCGTTTCGTATGTCGTAAACTGAAATAGTTTTTATTTTTGCCCGTTGACATTTATGTTTTTATTGTATAAATTCTCATATCAGTTCCGTATTTTTTTTTATCTCTATCAATTATTATTTCTTTAAATGATATGGGCGAGGTCGGCGTGTCGTATACATTAAAGAGTTGGCACTGGCCAGACGATGCAAGTAGATGAGGTTATGTTTAATAATGCAGACAGAACATATTCATCGGACTTTGCCGTCTTGTTACACAACTATGTATGAATACTTTTACATTCTGTTTTAAGTGAACATAGTATATAAAAAACGTGTGTGTGTACTTATGTACGCGCGCAAGAAGTGATATTTCTTTGGCGTAACAGAACAACAATTGCTAAAGATTTCAACCCGTATGTCACAACTCTCTGTATGTAAAAGGAATGCAGCTAACTTCATCATGTCGCTTTTTGGCTGTCGGTTGCGCGCGCCTTTTAAAAATATATTTCTTTCCAAACGTGTCAAGGAAAGTAAAACTTTAAAAATGTACGTAAAAGTAAGAAAAACGATGGCTTGTTACTTCATACGCTAAACTTTCTTTCCCTACGACTCTACTACCACTAACTTGATAAAAATGCCCTTGGTCACTTCCACCCACACTTTATCCTACATTAACGGGACTTTCAGCTAGCTATATAATATTTCAAAAATTTTAACTCCACTCCGTTTGAATTGTTAGGTGTTTTTAGTGTCTTTTTGTAATTGTATCCGCTTTTTTCTGCTATTTAATCGTAGAGCTTTTATAAATTCGTTGACTAAATGAGTTTTGAACATGTATTTGTCGCAGGGTTATTTTAAAAGCAGTAAAATTATAATTTCGCTAGTGATATTATAATTTCGCTAGTGATATTATAAAGCAACAATTGATGAATTGCGGATGGGATTTGAAAAAAAAAATAACTTAGAAGAAACATTTAAACCGTAAAATTAATTAATAATATATATAACGTTGTATACAATAGGGAAAAATAAAATTTATATTACTATTTTAATTTACGACATACGAGCCGATAAGCGTTTTTTATTTCTATTTTTAATCACAAGACAAGTAAAACAAAAGAAAATTGATTAAGTATTCTATTATGTAAGAATTATTTGTCTGTGTTGTTTTAAAACTATTGTCTTACATTTACTGCACACATACACATCGATCTCGCTTTTAGTAATGTCGAATTTAATTTAAATAATTTTATTAACCAATAGGTAGTTAATTAATAAGTAATTTATTAGAATCAATCGTAACGGTTTTGGTAATACAAAAATATTTATTTATAAATCAGTTGAATTTAATTGTAATGTTTAAAAATTGATTGTATTTCTACTTTTATTTATTGGCTTCGTTCGGGTGCGTCCGTAGGTTGCATAAGTTACTCTTTATAACATCAGCTATCTGCCAGTGGAAGTCCCGTCAACGTATAAGACTGAATAAACAGACAGACAGACACACATTTTATTTTCATATAAGTACCGTATATCTATGCACTATTATATGTACCTATTTATTAAAAAGATGTTATTTTGACATTACAAACAGACACTTCAACTTTCTTTATCTGTATAGATAATGTTTGGATAAATAAGAATAGGTATTTAATTCTTTAAATTATAACACAGAGCAATGTATCGCTACTCGTTGACTTCACAAGTTACAGTTAACAATTATTGATATCGTGGTTGTAATTTTAATGCTACATATACATATAACTATTAATTTAAAACAACATTTTAATACAAGTTAAGTAGACGAAATGTTTAATATATAATAGACATATTGAAGTTTTAAAAAAAAAATATTGGAAATCCTTCTTTTGTGGCTTGTCCAAATAGACTATGATAAATATATATTTGTTTTGCTGTATCCCATGGAAAATTAACATCCTATATATAGGTACCTAACGCTGTATATTTAGCGCAATGTGTGGTCTGATAAGGTGCAAACACGAACGTCGTCGTCTCATAAACATACATATGTATAAAATTTAAGAAACCAATTAGGTACAGTGACGATTGTCGTGATGCAAAGATATGTTCATTAGACTGCTGCTACATAACACTACCATTATACTGAATGATGAATATGTGTAATAGAATTTTACAACTACTTTTGAATATATAAATATAATTTAGTGTCCACTAGACCGAGAGCAAGTAAGGATTGGATATTTTAAGTTATTGTATCTAATATAGATGACACATTTGAGTCAGTTTTCCGTGACCCAAGTTGCTTGTGCCAGCGGTTCGAGTCCTGCTAGGGCATTCATTTGTGCGATGAGCACAAATTTATAATATGTATGTATTTATAATATATTTATAATATGTATGTATTTAAAGTTACATATGTGTACTATACCAACTATCTGGCAACCATAACGCAAGCCTCATAGCTTACCATGGAAGTAGATGGTGCTACGTGTTAATGTCCCAACATATTTACTTATTTATTAATAATTCCTGACAGGCATAGCAGCGGCCGGAATATCTCGCGAGCAGCAAGCCAAGATGCTTCAGCAGCAGCAGCAGCAGATGTTGCGGGCCCAGCAGCAGCAGATGCGGCCGCCGCCGCCTGAGTACAAGGCGAGGTTCGCGGGGACCCCCGGCCCCGCGCCGCGCCGCGCCCCGCCGCCGCCGCGCGCCTTCCCTCCCCACTCCAGGCAGTACCCGCCCGACTGGAGGCACGTGCTCATACAGCAGCAGTCCGCCAGGCAACAGTTCCCTCATCATCATCAGGGTATGTGTATCAGTGGTTGCTTAGACTGTGAAGAATTTTCAATGACCGTTCGTAACGGAATAATCGTAATTAGTAAATTCCAATGTACCCGAAGGTGCTACATTATTTTGCATTACATGCAAAATTTAGTTTTTTTTTTCAAAATATTTCGGCTCCCTCAGAATTTAATTTATCGTGTATATTTATTTGTTTATGTATATCTATTAAGATCTAAAGAGTGTCTGATTCGATTTTCGAATTCAAGCACCCGACTGCCTATTTCATACAATGTGTTTTACACGGCTCATACGTTTATAATATATTTTGTTCGGAAACAGTTATCGACGCCCTTAATGTTAGACGGTAATATTATAAAAATATATATAATTTATTACAGGTTTCAACATGGGCAACATGGGTAGTATGGGTAACGTGGGCAACGTAGGAGGCGGTGGCATGGTGCAGCAGCAACAGCTGCAGATGCAGCAGGCGCGTCTGCAGCAGCAGCAGCAGTTGATGCAGCACCAGCAACAAAGGTACATATCATGTAAATAATACATATATTCACCAACATAAAGAGCTTTTCGAATGGGAACCAAAAATCAAAATAAATCCGCGAAAAAATTCAAAAAGATAGTTTTATTTCAAAAGGTATTTTCAATTTAGAATATTACCTGTGCATTATGAAAAGTCATTAACATTCGCTCGGCCTTTCTCGGAAGATGCGCTATTATAGATAAAATAATATAAACTCTAAAACTGTTGATTTGGCTGTAATAATATATTACATGTACAGTTTTGATCTCATTTATACTGTTGCATTACTTACAACTAACTATATGAGTGTATTTGTATGTGAATTTTTATTAACAATCTTCCGATCGCTACCAAATTTCACAGGATCACGTGCTGGGCTGATCTGAAGGTTGCCTGAAAATTTCATTAAAATCGCTTCAGTCCTTTTGGAGTCCATAGGGAACAAATATACACACATCGATTTTTATATATTATACATAACGCATGGAAAAATATATTCCATGTTTAAACACGCTGTATGCAGTATATAAGGTAGAAAACAATGAATATGCGTGGCCTAAACAAATATAGCACGCAATCTACATTTATAGTAAACTAGCGGCTCACCCTCGCTTCGCTCGGGTTCGTCGCTAGGTACGTTTTAAATAGATATAAAAAGAAAAAATCTTTCTTTCTCACATTTTAATTATATGTTTTAATACTTACCTATTCCGGACTAAGAGAAATCCAAAAATTAAAATATCATAAAAATTGGAACGCGGTCGAACGGGATAAAAAGTATCCTATGTCCTTCTCCTGGCTCTAAACTACCTCCCTGCCAATTTTCAGCTAAATCGGTTCAGCCGTTCTTGAGTTATAAGCGAAGTAACTAACACGACTTTCTTTTATATATATAGACTAGCGTATACTTCTACTAGCGTAGTACTAGATACGTTTTAATTTTTTGGAGCGGATCCCTAATTCTTTTTCTAAAATAAAAGTAGCCTATGTTACTCTCTATAACATCAGCTATCTTCCAGTGAAAGTCGCGTCAAAATCAGTCCAGCCGTTTCAGAGATTATCCGGAACAAACAGACAGACAAAATTTTAAAAATTGTGGTTTTTTTTTATAAGTACCGTATATAATTTCTTATGCGTTTAGTAAAACGCTGTTATTTTGACATTACAAACAGACACTTCAATTTTATTTATCTGTATAGATTAAAGCTAGAATCCCCTCTCCCAGTAACCTCCGGCGCTCACCTCGCCTACTTGTTTACTTGCAGGGCGTCGAATCAGCAACAGTCGTCAATGTCACATCTAATTATGCAACAAAATCAAATGATGAGCGTGCAAGGACAGGTAATTGTTTCATAGAGCGCACTTTATGTTATTTATTATCTAGTACTTATATTTTTTATGTATTAATAATTTTGTTATCTATGTATGGATATGGTTAAATTATTAATATGTTTAATAATACTGAAATTAATAATGTTTGTGATTGTAATTTTTTTATTAATCTATTTGTTGTATAGAAATAAAACAGACGTACTTATGATAAAAGTGACAAATGTTATATTGTGATTCAGGGGCATATAATTAATTATATAATAAAACTATTTTACTTTTACGTTTACTGACATTCGTTGAGCCGTTACAGCGTGATAGCGTAACAAACATACGCTTTAACAATATTAGGGTGAAACTTTCTTTTCGAAATTTTCGGAGATTCTCTTCCGCTGCCCTAATTGCTGTAAAAATCTATAAGTTAAGATCTCGAGTATCGCGTAAGTCTAACAATAAGAAAGTAATTTTAGTCTGTTTCCTAAGAATCAGAGTTGCTAGTATATGACTAATCATATACTAGCGGTTCACCCACGCTCCGCTCGGGTTTGTCCTTGCTTACGTTTTAACGTTTAGTATAGATTTCTCAGAGATGAGATATGTTTCCGCAGTAAAAAGTATCCTATAATAATGTTGACCCGAATAGCCAACTTATCATCATACCAAATTTTATCAAAATCCTTCTAGTATTTTTTCCGTGATGCGGTAGTAGACAGACAGACAAAAATTCTAAAAACTGTAATCTGTATCGATAATAATATCTATTTCAATAAGATTTTCCAAAAAATATTTAATGTACACACTCGGCTTAGTTACAATTTTATAATATGTATATAATTTGTTTGCCAGATGCCTAACATCCACATGTCGCAGTCGCAGAGCATGAGCATGCAGCAGGGCATGTCGCTGGGCCTGCCGCCGGCGCCGCACGCGCAGCCGAGCCTCATGCAGAACGGCAACTTCCTCCACTCCTTCGGCGCTCCCGACTTCAACCTGGACTTCCTGGACAACATGCCTTCCACAGACACCGGCTCCCTCACCGCACAGGAACTCCTCAACTCCCTAGATAATTCCTTCCTCAATGATATTCTATAGGTTTCTTTCCATACGTTAACTCCCACTACCAACTTGGGTGCCAAATGGATATTGTAATTTCTATTTATATAACTTTTTGTCTTAGGGCATCTATCTATAGAAGGACTTTTAGAATCTTCTTGAAATGGAGTTGACAAGTTGTTATCATTATAAGTTTGTAGGGTGTTTGTCCATTGAGAGAAATGACGTGTAAACTTGTTAACCAAGCTTTTAGGCTTAAATTAAAATATACATGACCACAACTATATGAAAATTGTCTTTTTGTATAAATGTTTGTTTGCTTGAAGTCGGCGCTATCAAATAGCGACGCGACAGTAACTTTAGATCTGTTTAACAGTGGTTTAAAATGTTTTCACTATTTATGATATCATAAGGAGTAAACTGGTAGCTAAATGCCAAACACCCTACTAAATTGACCAAAGTTTTCCAGCAGGCGACGCGGCATATGTTCCGATGTGTTTTAATGTTTCCGATGCGTTGTTTTATATAATATGAACTATATTTATTCTGAAAGAATTCCATTTCGTAGAGTTTATAGTTTTTACGAATCGTTCGTGCATAGTTCGTTTGTAAAAAGATTATTGTACGGTAAGATTGTTTATGGACTATTTAAGATTATGAAAGTTAGTGTCGGATGATTCTCACGTTACTTAATTTTTTTATTCTTCGTGAGGCAGTAGGTTTTCGTTTGCGAAGTAGCTTTTATATACTATGTATATTTATTGAAATATTAATATATATATATATATATAAGAAAATAGCACAAAATACATTTCAGCGATTTTATTTACACGCTTACAAATTTATTTATCGAAACGACGTAATAAATTGGGGCAATACAATTGTAGCGTCTATTATAATAGTGTACTTTACCTGACATTAGGATGTGATTTAGTTTCTCTGGACCTCCACTTATGACTCGTTGATGATCTTTATTACAAATTCAATTTATTTTATTAAGTATTAAATTATTACAATTTTTTACTGAACGTCATGAGTACTACCAGTTCGGTAAGAAGAATCTGAGAAGAAGTTTCGAAAGAAACTCGGCGGTACTAATATTATTACCTAATTTATCGTTCTTGTATTACACTATAACAGATAGATATTCTATGTAAATATGCCCTATATTATATTATTCACCTTCTTTTTTTAAACTGTATATAATCACAAATTTATTGTAGATCTTCTTCAAATGATTACTTTAAGACTGATTTTATCTTCCCAAAAAAAAAATATATATATAAATAATTGGGAATTATTTCCTTAATCTTTGCCATACCGTTTATTATTCGTATTATTAAAATATATTAGCCAGTCTTGCATCACAAACATTGCCATATATTAAAATGTTTAAAATATATTTAGATATGGAATTGACGTGACTTAATTTATACTGATGTAATAAATGATCGTCAGCGAGCTGAATATTTCCGCCTGCGAAGGGCCCGATTTTTTATTTATAGTTCAAATGTAAATTTTTATCTATTAAGATTATTTAAGATCATTCCTGTACCTAAGATGTAATTAGTAGTTATACTGTGATGTCGGTCTCAATGGTCTGTAGGTTAAAATAGAATCAATTATAAATAGAATATTGTTATTGTTAAGGATCTCATGTATCGTGTAGAGGGGTTTGTGGGATTCTGGAATATTCAGGACGTTGGTTTTTTTTTTATTTTTAACATTTATTTCTCGACTTATGCCAATAGATTACAAACAATAACTTTTATATATGTATTATATATTTTACAGTGTAAATTAGATTAAAATTTATATCCAAATTGAGAAAGCATAGCTGTACAAGAAAGGTTTACATATAATTATTATGTATTATATTATTATTCCTTTAAAAATGTATGAATACTTCATACCACGGGACACCAGCTCTCTGTAACAGTAAACCACTTATGAATGATTGAAACATTCCAGAGCCATTGTTAACAATGTTTTTAACTTTAGGACCAATTTTTGAATGTTCTTTTGAAAATAATATTACATATTGAAATATTTGCCTTTTATTTCCTACATTTACTAACTATATTCTTAATCTATTTACAGTCTTATGTTGTTTGAGTACTTAACAATATAACATATTAAAGTTAAAATAATATTTTGATTAAATGGGAGAAAAATACTTTGAAGATAAATTATTTTACTAGTTGTTGAAGTCAAGCAAAATTTATGTAAAAATTTATGGCACGTTTTATTAAATTTGAATATCATATTATTTTAGATGAGAAACAAGCGGCTGGTGTTTTGAAAATAAATCGATCACCACATTATTGAATCAGCTTGATGTTTATACAAAATATCTGAAAATTTCTCTAATTTTTTCTCTAAAGCATTTATCTCCACTGCTAATTCTCATACCATCTCGTTTGGTTTATTAAAAATTCTAGGATTACGTACTCTAGGGCTGTAAAAGTTGTTAGGTTGAGTGTATTTGGCAGTTATTGGTTCATCGTGCAAGCTCAAGTTACGTTCATACATATTTTCACGTGACTTATTTTCCATAGTTTTTATCATAAAAAAATTCTTCTCTTGCCTACTTTTTCTAAGTCGAATACAAGAAAATACTGTGCTTAATAAAATAGCTAGTTTGAATACTGCGACGACGAACAATGCGAGCATGAATACAAAATATTGCCGTTGATACCAATCTTCTAGCTTAGTTTGACAACCCTGGAATAGAGACAGTTGAAATTTAAAAAATATTACTCCTTAGGTACTTTTACAAAATATGTGCTTAATTTAAACATATTATAAATTCTGAGTCGAATCTGTATATTAATTTTTTTTTGAAAATCTTATTGAAATATGTAGTTATTTTTATCGATACAGAGGCTGAATCTATAGTTTTTAGAATTTTTGTCTGTCTGTCTGGGAACACATCACGAGAAAAGCACTGGACTGGATTTTTATGAAATTTGGTATGGTGATAGCTGGTTATCCGGGTCAACATATAGGATACTTTTTACTGCGGAAAAATATCTCATCTCTGAGAAATCTATACTAATCGTGAAAATGTACTTAGGGACGAACCAAAAAATAAAGCTGTCGAAAATCATCTACTGAAATCGAGCCTAGACCAGCGGAGTAGCACAGGCTCTGCCAGGTTAGGATAAGCAAATTTTTATTAATTGATTACCTCAATACCAATCGGCCAATATGAATGGTTTAAACAATACTGATTACTAAATTTATTTATCTTAATAAAACATCAAGGAAAAAAAGGAAAAGAGATGGTATTATATTTTAAGGAATATAATATACATTCTACAGTATCGACAAGTGGAAATTCGCAATAATATGAAACGAACTGCCATATGGTGATACCTCGATACCATGGCGTAATTACGAGTAGATACGTCTTCTGCGTAGTAGATAGTTCTAGAATAGCCAACAACGCAGATGAAGCCGGTTCGAATCCTATATTGAATATTCGTTGTAGATTGTAATAGATCGTTTAAATGTTTATTTTTTACTCACGATGATATAAGTTTACTATTATATATATTTAAACTATAACTGTAAAAAATAGTTACTCTTGTAACTTAAAACGGGTTTGGATTAAATTAAATACACACATAAGGTTATTATCTATATTAACACATAGGCTGTACGGCACAAAATGTAATGAAACGAAATGACACAGAAAATGAAATGAAAGATGCTAATTATATAATAGTCCATATCATAAAAATTACTGAACTGATTTTGAAGAAATCTTACTATTCTCTAAGTTGAAATTAATGTAAGTAAATAGAAAATAGAATGATCACGATTCGATTACTAGTTTCGGAGAGATGCATCTCCAATTCCAAACAAATATACAAAATTTTATTTTGTATATTTGTTTGGAAGCTCAAATAGATTTTCATATATGAATATTTATTTTGCAGTTTCAATAATATTAAATACATAAGTGTCGAATTGATAACCTCCCTTTTTTGTAGTCTGTTAAAAATATATGCTTACTGAGACATGTCTAAATTCAGCATTAGGCTGTATCTCCTGGCATCGGGACTGGTTCACCGGCGCAGGGTTGAGGTAGGACGCGTGCTCGGTCTGCACGCAGCAACTGGGCGGCACCGACATGCCGCGCGGGCCGAGCCGCCGCAGCTGCCATAGTGACATGTCGTAATTTCGCGCGCTCGTCATACCGCAACACTCTAACTGGAAATTGATTTATAAAATAACTAGCAGAACCCGCGGCTTCGCTCGCATTAGAACTACAAAAACCTAAAAAGATAGGTTTCATACAAACTTTCATCCCCTATTTTACCCCCCTATTGGAATGAATTTCGAAAAATGCTAACGTTTTTTTTATTGAACAGTATTAATACCAACTTTCAAGTAATTCTGATCATATTTTTTTTGGATTGTACTATAACGTGTTTTCTCGTGGGAATTAGATAATCATTCGCGGTAAAAAGTAGCCTATGTCACTTTCCAGCCCTCCAACTATTTCCACACAAAAAATCACGCGAATCCGTCACTCCGTTTCGACGTGAAAGAAGGACAAACAAACAAACATACAAACACACTTTCACATTTATAATATTAGTATGGATAGTATAGATTTAGTTAGACATTGATAAGTGATAGACTTGAGATATTTTATATTCATGTTTTTTTCTAATAAAACGTATAACTCAGTCTATTTATAAATTGTACCTCAGTTTGTGCGAGATCCAGGGCTGCCGTGAAGTGCTCAAAATCTGGCACAGCATAATAACTTTGAAGAGCTCCCACGGCCCCTCCCCGAAAACTTTGGATTCCGTAACATCTCGGCCATATTGCTGCCAGTACTCCGGCTGCGCACTCGCAAAGCAATAAACTCAATACTACTAAGAAATACTGAAAAATAATAAGTACAATTAAAATACAACTAAACAGATAAATTTTAAACTAAAATACAAAAAGTTCTTTGAATTTTTCAAAGCTTGCTACTAGGTCCCTATTAAATATAAAGATTCATTATTACTTACCAAAGTTAATATAAAATATCCTGGCATATATGTAGCCCACACGCCTAAGGCGGCTAAACTACAAATGATGAGTCCAGCTGCTAAAAGTCCAAGAGCAACGTAATAAAAAGGGGGCTCTTCTAGTCCATCTTCAGGCATAGCTAACAGCCGCGAGAGCAAAATTCTTCGTGAATCGGATAGCAAAAGAAATCCGCATACCACTTCAACGAAACCACAGCCCTATTGATAAAAAGCACGTTATTTTCATTACTTTGTAATAATAATAAATTCAGTACCACTTTAAATACTAAATTATTTTACTTACAAAAAACAATGTATTAAAACATCCAAAAAGTACTTTGGCACTTGCAATCTTCATGATTAGTAAACAATAAACGAAACCGTGTCACCAAATAAAAACGTGTAGTGTTATGTGATATGTCCAAAAACCGTGCGAGTTATAGTAAGCCTTTGAATAAAAATGCGATGAATACATTTGCCAGTTTAAGGGAGATACGCTCTGCTGAACAGGTGGGGTGACTAATAATTAAGCCAGTTTATCTAAAATTAATGCATGAGTTATTTTAACGCTCGTGTCCGTTGTAGATAAATGACCACCTAAATCTAATCCATCAAAGCATATATCGGTGTAAATAAAATGAAGTTTTTAATATATTTTATACATTTTATTTGAAATATTTAAGATTTTTAAAAATCGATATCTTTTTTCTTGAACCCGCCGCATGTTTTTGGTGTGGCTGTAATGTCGTCTTGCTCGCGCTCGCTCGACTCTTGAAGTTCTAAAAGAAACATTAAAAAAAACATATCATGTGAATCTGTTTTGGGTGTTCTGTATAGTCGATTAGATAGCTTTATAGGTTTGTTAAGATCTATGTCTGACTCTCTTCTTGTTGACTTACTGACTTGACAAGTTATATATTATTATTTAACTCCAAATGACCTATTGTGGTATATTGACTAGCATAATCTAATATACAAATATTTGCAGGGATTGAAATGTAAATAATTAAATAATTGTATTGCTTCAATAAATAATAGTTTAAAAAACTAACCCGGTGGCAAATGCAGTTTCTCTATGACAAACTTCTTTCTTCTCAATTTAAATGCTAGATCAAGACTTGGAGGCACAAATGGTACAAGTGAATGTACAGCAGATAACTTAGTTATATGGAACAGACCGTGATATTCACTATATACAGGATTTGTTTCTTTACTTGAACCTGCAAATGATTCTATTCTAACTGCATTATCTACTGAATACAGAGCACGTTTCATTATGTGATCATCCTGAAATAAAAAAAAAATATTTTAAAAACAAAATGTTTTGGTAGGGAAGCCGAAGCAGGAAGTTTGTGCGTTACTCGAACGCGTCAGAAAATCATATGGGGAGAAACCTGGCACCCTGTAATATACCCCTACCATATATGAACCCTTAATATAGGGGGGTGCGTTGAGGGCAGCCTGTCAGATTAGTAAAAAAATCGATCCTCAGAAAAACTTGAGCGCATCAGATTAAGACTATAGTCCATTCGCGTTAAGAAAATAGTGAGTCATCATCAGCAATGGTAGATAAAGGTGTATACAAAGTGGGAGTAAAAATTCAATTCAAATTCAATATTTCAAAAGATTATGTTTAATGAATAAAAATAACTTAATTATCTTACTTATCTCAAAGCTTGATTTGAGGAGATAATAACTTTATTTTGATTTGAAATAATTAATCAGCTTAATTATCTTAAATCAAAATAAATAATAACAATGACTTTATTCTGATTTGAGTTAATTAATAAACTTAATTATCTAAAATCATATAAGGTAATAATTTTTTTATTCATATAAGGTAATAAATGTGTAGGTACATTATGATTTTTTTTCAAATTGTCAGATTATATATCATTTAGGATAACTAGATCAACAAACGCCAGTCATTTGAAAAGGACACTTTTTTGAGTTCTCTTAACATTCCCTCTGAATCCATCTGACATGCTCGAATAACTTTTTTTTCTAGCCCTTTTTATGGCTACCCCCCACTGGTTAATCGTCAGATCTTGTATCTCTCGGTTATCAGAAAGACAAAGCGCGTATACACTATGAATGTCTGACGCGCTCGTGTATATCCATGTCACATTTTTGAGAATTTGTACACGCTCCCCCCCCCCCTCCCCCATCTGCATTCTGAATTTTACTTAATTCATTGAGTAATGTCAGCATGTAAATATAATAGAGAAAACAAATACATACTCACTATATTTCTAATATGAGTGAGTCTTCATTTAAAAGTTCATTAACTCATTTAAAAAGTTGAAATTTTTTAAATAAATGTTATATTACAAGTAAATTTTTGAAAATTATGTTAAATACTTACATCAAATAAATGTGAAGGAATGGTTATAAATGTTACAACATTTTTATCTTGAGTCATTATTCTTAAACAATATAGAAATTTTAGCAAGTCTTGCCCATAGTTAGTTGGTGATTCATCATCACAGTCTAATGCCATCCAAATAGGGGAGCCCAATGATTGTATAGTAATTCGTAAAATATTCTTAGTTTTACTAGTTCTATTATATTCTTCCTTTGATACTAGTTTTTTTATGTTTGCCAGAAGATTGCTATATAAATTATTTTTAAAGCCTGAAATAAAGATGTCCTTTTATGACATTATAATCAAAATTATAATAAGATTTGAATACTAATATTATAAGCTACAATAATATTATTTTACCCACCATTTACTTTATTATCATCCTGGGTTAAGTGACAGTAAGTTATATTAGCATTTCTAATAGTATTTTCATCAATATGTTTACTAAGATCAAAGTGGTGACCAAAATTGGTGTTACTGCCAAAGGATGACTCCACTTTACCAAGTCCTTCATATCTCCAGGCAATTTTCATCTCACTACTTGCTTCTTGGCCTGTTTTCTCATCTGATGGTAATATGCATGCTTGAGGTAATTCTTTAGTCTATAACAAACAGACATATAAATTAGAACAAAACACTAATACAAATTTTAGTAGCCCTTGTATAATATGTTATTTGTTATATTTATATACAATATATAAAAAAAATCTTACAATGTCTCCAGGATGTACATCAGCAGAAGATATAAACAAATCATGTTTACATATAACACCCTCAGCTAAGAAATATTTCATTAATACCCTGCTATAACTTCCTAAAACATCTTCCTCTGTAATAAAATAACTTCAATATAATAAACTATTTAAATAATTTACGAGAATTTATTTTAATGTTTATTTATTGTATAATTGTACGCATATGTACTAACCTACAAGAAACACACTTCCTGTTGGTAAGCCTCCGCCTGAAAAAAATATTTAGTAAAGATTGTTAAGATAGGTCGTAATCGTAATTGAGAGCCTATGTTTGACTCATAGGTTTTAAATATCTTACCAATAACATAATCTAACGATGGTATTCCGGAAGATATATAGGTGAGGTTATTTTTTAATTTCGTTCCTTTAGTATTTGAGTGTGAAATAGATGTTTTATGAAAGCTTGACATATCGTTAAATTTTGTCTCTGTTAATATAAAAAGAAACTTAATAAATAATGTCTGGATAAATTACAAAAGTATAAAATCTGTCAAAACATTGTGTAAAATGTAAATAAAAGTGACAGCTAGTGATAGATATCGATATCGATAAAAAAAATCAGTTCTATTTTTATTAATCGAGGCATCGATCAAAATATACACAATCAGCAACAAAAATGTCCTCACGGAATGAGCGCTCATTTGAAAATTTCAGCACGATTTTAATATATTTTTTGTGAAAACAATTATAAGCGTTGCATTTAAGGTTCAGTACTTTTTTGATCGATGAATCGATGTCAGAAGTCTTTATTGCAACTGTCCTATTGTCTTAAACTATTATATATAATATACTGAGTAAGGGCGAAATCATTCTCTTTCTCATTTTGAGTTCAATTATTTCCGGTTACAGTGCAATTATATTTAAGATCTAGTTGTTGTTTTCTTGTTAAAATATATAACAATCTTCATGAATATTTATCGGATCAATTAAGGCAGGCAGTGATCGATTCTTTAAAGTCTATAATAATATAGTTAGTGGTTCTCGCTTGAATCTTTACTTTAATGTAGACTGTGGCACGTGTACGGTCCCCGTTACTTATATACTCCATATATGTTCTGTCTACGGTTTCTACGGCGCCCTGATTTGAAGGCAGATTCGCCTAGATCTCGACGCGATATGCCGAAAAGTAAGAATAAAACTTTTCGATATCTCGCTTAGTTTCTGAGATATCGATACTCAAAAGTCAAAAAATGAAATATTTTGTTACTTTTTTTGATAAAATTTGATTCATGTTGCAATATTTATTACCGACGTTAGATAATTATAAGTTTGGTTGTTTTTACCAATAAATACACTCTGGTCAAAATTGAAACTTTGATCTTCATAAATTCAAAATATATTTCATATTTCAAATTTATTATATCTTACCAACACATACACTCTAGCGGTCAACATTTATTGTAAAAAAATTCCATCTTTTCAGATTTTTAAGTATCGATCTCTCGAAAGTTAATCAAGATATCGAAAAATTTTATTCTTTCTTTTTGGCGTATCTCGTCGAGATCTATGCCAATTAGCCTTCAAATCGTGATGCCGTAGGAACCGTACTTCGAGCAATAACAAATTGCTCGAAAGAACCATAGAATCCCCTAGAATGTTTTAGTCTTGAGTCTCGACTCTCGACTATGGCAAAGAGAACCACTGCGTTATAGACTAAGTTTTAGAGGCTCCCTAGTCTCTATTTTTATTACTCATCTATGTTACAGCGACTGTACATTCTCGCTGAGACGGACCGTGACATGCCGAGTGCTGAGTCTTATAGTTTACCTGTGGTTTTAATCGTCTGTCATCTAATGGTTATCTATGGTTGTCACTTATTTCTTATTAATCTGTGACTAGACCTGGAGCTGTCATTTCCATGATTGTGGAGTACACGTATAAAATATAAATATATGAATAGAAAGGCACATTTTGAGAGTGAAGACGCCGAGTGAAATTTGTTGTCATAGTTAATAATATAGACATAAAAACAATGCAGGGGCCGGCTGTATTTATGGATATATCGCTTGAGGATCAAGTAAGTTCACGTGAACATAACCTCCTCACTAATGTAACTGTTTGAAGATTAATGCATTAATAAATTTCATATTTTGATATTTCTCTGATTATATATTAAAAAAATAAACCAGTAGCCATAATTTTGAATAGACAATAGTTGTACAAATTTTAACTAACTTTTGTTTGAACATTAATCTATGTTACAGAGCGATATTGCAGTTGTTTTTATATTTGTGTTCTAGGCTCAAGAATTAAGGCGATATTTTAAAAGCTTAGGGGCTGAAATATCAGAAGAGAAGTCTCCAAAAGGTATAGAAGATGATTTACACAAAATTGTTGGAGTATGTGATGTTTGTTTTAAAGAAAACAATGAGGCCGACATAGAAGCGATTCTTAACAGTATTGTCTCTATAATGGTTTCTGTAGGTATTTCTATTAAAATATGTAATACATTTGTTTATTATTATTATTTATTCAATAATTAAATAATGCATTTTGTTTCGTAGATCCCCCTGGAAAGAGGTGAAAATTTGATCCTTGCATTCAGCCAAAGGTTAACTAAGGCACCTGGACCTAAACTTGGCATGGTTTCACTTCAATCGTAAGATTGTTTTGCCTTTAATGGACACTTTAATGACTTACAGACGAGTGTTTGCTTATTTATTCTGAAAGATATTATGAAACTAAATCTTTATTAAATCACACTTTGAAATGTAAATTAACTCTTAAAATATAGAAGTATTATGCATCAGATATCAGGATAATTCTTTGTTTTTATTCATTAAAATTTTAAAATAATAAGGCCTTCAATGTCTCATTAGTTATTATTAATATGATCATTTGAAATTTCTAGACTATGGAGACTCTACAACAATTTGGAAGCTAACTCGCCTCTTAGATATCATGTCTACTATCATGTAATTGAGCTTGCAGCTAGAGTGGGATCAGTTGGTGAAGTGTTTAAGAGTGTCGATCAATTACGAAGAGAGTTTGCTAGCTGTCCACCATCGAATGAGCAAATGCAAAAATTATACAGATTGCTCCATCTTGTATTGAAAGATAATAACAGGTAAATATAGAAAAAATACCAGAAATATTAAATAAATTACTTTCATTAAACTCATGAGAGTTAAGTACACATACTTATACACTATAGCATAACAGTCCCTTTCAATAGGGTATGAAAACAATATTCTAAGGCGCACAATATGTTAACAGCTGCCATATTATTGTATGTGTATAAAATCTGTTTGTTTATTTTTGTAATTACATATCATCTGTATCTTTGTTAAAGAAGTTTTGTTATATGTATATAGTAGTATAAAGATATAATATTTTAAATTTAATAAAAATGTATATAAAATGATATCGTTTTTCATATTCTCCACATACAAAGAAATATTCAGTGCCTGAAAATCATACTTTAGAGATTTAATTGTATTTAAAAAAGGTATATAACAATAATAATTAATAAATAATTTTCTTTCTTCATTACAGTGAACTGGCATCAAAAGTAATGATTGAATTACTTGGTACATACACAGATGAAAATGCTTCATACGCAAGAGAAGATGCTATTAAATGCATAGTGACTGCTTTGGCCGATCCCAATTCATTCTTATTGGATCCACTGCTTGCCTTGAAACCTGTTCGTTTCTTAGAAGGGGAACTTATTCACGATTTATTAACTATCTTTGTATCAGAGAAGTTGTCGAGCTATCAGGCATTCTATAAGAATCACAAAGAATTTGTTCATTCTCAAGGTATGTGACAATAGTAGTATCCATGGCATCAAGCAGTTACCTTTTTGAATTTTTTAATTATATTTCTCAACCTATATTCTTCTCAACCCCTTAAGGGGTTGTATCACACTATCATTAGATTTGCCCCTTAGGTCTGCGCTGGATGTTGATAAATTGGTTTTTAATTTACATCTTTTGTAATGAAAGCCTATTATAATACTTATTTTCATTATGAATACTAGCTTATTCAATTTAATAATTTTTAAAATTCTTATTTAGTCTACCATTTATATGTATCTCTTATAACTGTACTTAATTATCATTTTTTTTAAATAAATTTGTTTATTTGTTTCAGGCTTAAATCATGAACAAAACATAAAGAAAATGAGGATACTCTCTTTCATGCAAATGGCTGAATCCAATCCCGAAATTTCATTTGATGACATTGTTTCTGAGCTTCAGATTGAGGAAAAGAATGTTGAAGCATTCATCATTGAAGGTAAATGGTCCCAGCGATTGTGAATTAATTGGTCACATTAGTATGATAAATCTCTAAAAATATAATGGAGCTTTACAATGACAAGAGAATTATACGGATTCATCATTCAATGCAGAAATTGATTTGTCTAGTATATAATATATGTATATGTTATTGTAAAAGCCCATACATTGGTAAATCTTAGGTTTACCTAGTATATCTTAGGATTTACCAACATGAGTTGGTAAATGTAAGGATTTTATAAAAAATAGACGAGCTTTCAAACTTTTACCTTCAGAGTTTAGTACATGCTAGGTTTTACTAACGATGGTTGGTAAATGTTGGTTTATCTAATCACTGTGTATTTTATGATTGTCGAGATAAAAGCGCGACTTGGACAACGTAGATTGAGAAAGCTAAGACTTAAGATGCGTAGCGTAACATCCGCCTTAGCCGCCCTAATATCATATGTGCTTTACCAAGAAACGTTGGTAAAACCTAACATGTACTAAACTCGGATGGTAAAAGCCCGAAACCTCGTCTACTTTTTATAAAATCCTTACATTTACTCATATTGGCACTGACACAACAATAATCGCACTTAAAATGTTCATGTTGAAGCAGAAAAAATATATTAATTAACTATTTAATAACTAATTGAAAAATTATGATAAATATTTTTTTCCGGCGGATTGAAGAAAGCCTCTGATTTTTTCGTTTCTTAAATTTTATATTTAATATGTTAAAATAATTTTTATTGATGTGTCCGAAGTAGGCGTGGCTTTCGCAAGGCAGAGCGCCCGTTTTTGGCCGTATTTTCATGCCTATGGGAAAATTATAAATATTGGTTCTACAGTACCAGGAGTCAAGACTATTTGTTATGAAATTTCCTCATCTTTTTGAATCGTTTTTTAGATTTGAAAAATTTCAATTACTTGTTGAGATATTTGCAAAAGACAAAACCCCCTTTTTGTAGTTAATTGTTTAAAACTATTGCAATTTTTGCAAGCGGAACTTGATTTTTTTCAACAATCATCTTCATGCCTTTCTGAATCGAATGACACCTCGTTCATATTTTTCCGAGAAAAACGTTAACCAAAAAGGCACTTGTTGACTAGACTATAAATCTTTTTGGTTAACACAAAGTGTTTCTCTTATTATGTTGTAGTTTGAAAGTCTATGGACAACATAGAATGTAGTAACGTAACGGCATTCGCCGTACCGGTAATTCAGCCTGAATGAAAAACTTGCCTGTGAATTGTGATTGGCCTTTAATATAATGTGATAAAAATTACCCTTTGACATTTTATGCCATAAACACGGGGTCTCACCAGAAGCAAAGAAAAATTAGTTAGAATAAACGTCAATAGATGGCGTAATGTGTATGAGTTTGTTATTGAAGCTAGTGTAAAATTAATAAAAGATAAATAATAAATCCGAAAACAGGTATATTATTGTTTTAAAAATACTCTTAAGTAATGTATTACATATGAATAAATATATTTTTAATATTGTATATATCCCTTTCACCAAAGTCATCTGTAAGAGATTGCTCTTCTTATCATTTTTCGTTCTCTGTACCTAAAGGAAGACCTTTAGGTATGCAATAAAGTGTTACCTATGTACACATATGTATATCTATCTGTTACAGTGCTGAAGACACGCCTAGTGCGCGCGCGCATGGACCAAGCGGCGCGCGCAGTGCGCGTGTCGAGCACGATGCACCGCACGTTCGGGCGCGCGCAGTGGCAGCAGCTGCGCGACGTGCTGCTCGCGTGGCGCGCCAACGTGCACCACGCGCAGGAGTCTATGAAGTCCGTGGCCGCCGCGCAGATTGAGTACAACAAGCAACAGAAGCCGTGATTCTGATCGTAATCATTGATGTACATGTTCATTGTATTGTACGTTTTGCTATTAAATATGTCAGTCACATGTATGTATTGTTTTTATTTTCGCCACTGATGAAGCAGCCGTTCTGATTTGTTTTATAAGATAAGACTATTCATTTTTTAAGCTACTTACTTTGTTTTAGTTTGCTAACAAATTTCAAGTTGCAAGTTCGGGTGTGTCCATCAGAAACTTACCCTATATGTTAGTCCAGGTCGTAGTCTATCTCTGTACTTCCAAATCGTAATTGAAATTGAATTTTTATAACTTTTTTTATGAATAGAATTTGATACAAATTTCAAAAAAAACCGCTTATAAAAGTTAAAAAAATTTAAAATGATTTTGTGTGAAAGTTAAGATGGTGTAATTCTTGTTAAAATTATGTTAATAGTATAGTTGCGATTAGCTATACCAGTTTACTTAAGTCTTAAAAAAAATACTTATGTGAATAAAAATAGGTATGCATTTAATAAGTGTACGAGGATTCACATTGAGATCGTTTGGTTTTTGGTCAAATTTTAAAGTAATAATAGTGCATTTTGTACTGATCGATACAACATTAAGCATAAATTTGATTTAATTTTTAAGTGAAAGACAAGGTTATATTATAGTTTAAATAAATTGATGTGATTTTTTTATACTTTTTACTATTTTTCCTGAAATTGATATTATTCAACACTACTTTGAGTCGATTTTAAAATGACATTTGGCTATGAAATATATATGTATTTGGTAAAGAAGAAGAAAAAAACAATTACAATATCATGTGCTTGTTACCGCTTGTTACGTTGACATATCTATCAAAAAATTAAAGTTTTTACTTTTACATGATTTACATCGGTGATTAATATAGGCTTGTTCATATAAAACTGATATGGATTACGAACCCGAGCACGAAGGGTGTTTTACTAACGTATTTAGGGCATTTGTGTGTGTGACACTGTCTTTATTATTAGGATTACAAGTATATGCATACTTGTGGGGGCAACAGGACGCGCTGGAAGGAGACTTTTCGGATGTAAAACACGTAGTTGTGCAACTTACTCGTGGTCTCTCAGAGGTTATTACGTAATTAAGTATATTTACAATTAAATTTTGTGTTCTACAATAATACTAGGGTACCTTCAAGTTTCAAACATCAGATATAGTACTATAACTAGATAAGATATTTTATTTGGTTAGCTGTTTTTTATGTGTTTATGTATCTTGAATGTGTTACTCGAGTAAAATTAATATACAGCTGTATTACGTTAAAAAAACAACAAGAATAGGAAAATTTGACCCCGACACTATAAATCTGCATGACATTTTGTCTACGATTCCACTAATTTACATTGTCTACGACGATAAAATGTAAAAATTGTATGTACATATTTCCTAATAAAATCAACCAATATATGAAACGGTCTGATATAATAGGTAAATCGTAAACACGAGCGACTTCAAGGAGAGATGGAACGTTTGACGGCTGCCTTACCCGCAGTAGCTGCGGCCGCTGGGAAGGCCAGGGATGCTTTAGAACCCACTAAACGAATTTTGAACCATCCAATCGATGTGCGAGATTACGATCGTCAGGTAATATTTAAGACAAATATTGACAATATTTCTCACATAAAATTTACTATATACAGATTTAAATTTCGTTAACTTTTTATATGGTCACATATAGATCGCTGACTACGCATTAGAAACGGCTGGCGCTCGCGTTATAGACACAGGAGATACAATAGAGCACTTCTTATACGAGTCACCTGTTACTTGGATTTTACATGTAGTCAGCTCTATGCTTTGCCGGGAATGTCCGGGCGCCGACACTATTATCCGACCGGGGACTTTACCAGGCGAATGCTGGGCTTTCAAAGGGTCGAGAGGAGAAGCTACGATTAGGCTACTGGGTACAGTGCACATAAGCGGCGTTAGTTTGGAACATATTTCACCCCATATTTCACCCACCAGGTATGTACTTGAATGATATAGTAGATATTATATACAAATATAGATATAGTTAATTCGTGAAACTGGCTTGCACTAAAATAAAAGAAAATATTAGTAAGTACCTACCTATAGTTTTGTGTTGCGTAGCTTTTAATGTAGGTATTAACTTGAATTTATTCTTAAGATACATAATAAACTTTTAAAAAAATAAACACTTTATTAATTAAAAAATATTTTCTAGAGAGATCTCATCAGCACCAAGATTGTTTCAAATAGAAGGATTAAAGTACCGCCGCGATGCTTATCCACATGATTTCGGCACGTTTGAATATGACAAAGATGGTAAGCCTATCCAGTATTTTGAAGTATTAAATACCTCGCAGAAAGGTTTTAATGTAGTGCGCTTAAAGATACATTCAAATTGGGGTCATCCTGTGTACACGTGCGTGTATCGTATAAGAATCCATGGCGAGTTGGCAGGGTCAAAACCACGTGCTTCCGGGAAAGATGATGATTTACTTATTGAAAATGAATAACAGTATATATTATGTACTAATGTATATAATGCCCGATTTCACCAACAACCCATCAGCTACCACCTACGTATGGGATCCTTAGCTTAAAAGTCCCCTAAACTAGCCCCTAAATTAAATTTCGTTTTACGATCGTTTTTAAGCCCATATTTCGAGCACCTAAATTTAGGGGGCCTTTTAATTTTTAGGTGACCCCTAACTGAAACTGTCCCCTAACAGCCCCCTAGCCATGCTTAGGGGATCCCTTAAACTTAGGTGACGTTGGTGAAATCGGGCATAAGTCTTTTGTATTTAATAGTTTTTAGTTTAATTAATACTTATAAAAAACTTACCTACATTAATTTATTAGATTTTTTTAAATTATGAATTGTTTTAACTTCTAATGTGCCTACTCAGCTTATAATATTTTTAAGATAAAGACATTGGTATGATAATTAAATATTTTAAGACTTAACAGATTTGAGTTTTCTTAATATGTAGGTACTTACATTTAATTAAACGGCTATATTTGTAAAATTATAATTAAAATATTCATAATAGCGTTGTCGGACTCCACATTTCTTTCGAAAACTTATTAGGTTATCTCAGACATGCAGATTTCCTCACGATGTTTTCCTTCACCGTAAGACAAGTGAATCATGTTGAAAATATTTGAGGCCGGGATTTGAACCCGCTTCACTCGGCTATCCAAGCGAGCGCGCTACCACTGGGCTACTACCTCAATATAACATAATAGAACAGTAATAGTAACTATTACTACTTATTACTGTTATATAATAAACATTTTAACATTTCTTGTAGGTGCTTACAAAAACCTTTTGCACCTACATAATATTTGTGATTTTTATGTGCGAGATTTTTTCATCCTTATGACATTAAAGACATCAATGCCAGGTGCCCACTGCCATGTTAGAACGGGCATTGTGTTTGCACAAAACGAGAGAAAGCCAAAACCGAGGATAGATGTTAATCTGGGTGTCCAGCAGCCGAATGCTATAAAATGCATCTATTGTCATTGAACAAAACAACAAAGAACATAAATTAACATGAGCAAAGTGATCATGAGCCCCCGCGGCGCGTCCGAGCTAATGGGTTGACCGGCGGACCCGCTTTGTATGCGCCATGGTACAGTGCAGGGACATGTGAAAGGATAATATATCGCTAAGTAAATAAATAATAGTTGAACGGATTGACAAAAAGTTTATTTTTTCCCTTGAGTTTTATCGCAACATTTTTTTATTTGGCTCTATTGAATTTTAAATAATATAATGTTAAGTTTTTATATCTAGAGAGTAGGTACTGGTACAAATGTAGGTACGTTATATCCGATTAACGGTCTATCTTATTTTATTGAAGTCAAAACTTGTATAGGCAGGTTTGGATGGGGGGTAAATTCATGTAAGTCGTCGTCGACATGGTCACGTGACGTATTAACGCTAACACACAGAGTGTCGATAGATGTCAAAACCAGTTATATGTAAAATGTTTAATTTACGAATTTTAATTTTGAGATTAAACAATTAATATTCGAATTAATTGTTTGATTAGACCGAGACCCAAAAATAGCAACTGTTTGTTTATAGCCTTAAGTTTTTCTTCTGTCGGCAGACCTCATGACTGCTTTTTTTATTTATGTTATTGTACCATTTACTTTTTCATAGATTTATATGGTGTCAATAAAAATTCCTAAAAAGTTTAAAAAAATTAAAAAAAAAAAATGTTTTCGTTATTACTCTCTTTATCTTATAGAATCAAAGGAGCGTTGCCACGCTTAACGTCAATAGCGATCAGTGAAATGTAGACATTTTTAAAATGATTTGTGTCTGAGGTTCAGGAGTTTCTGTAGATTAGTAGATCCAATTTAATATAATAAAATACTTTTGAAAATATTTTTTTTTTCTCAGTTTTTTGGTTCTAAATATTTAGGTAATGATCTCGCATTCTAACAGTTTCAGATTGTTAGGTAAATTTGTGTTTTAAGTTTGTGACTAGGTAGTTTTGAAAATATTAAGGGCACCAGATTTGAATGGTTATACAATAATAAGTATTTACTTATATATCTATTTGTGGTAACTGATAAATACAGATCAAAAATATTCGGCCGACAATATTATTTATTTGGTAATAGGAATTCCAATAGGAGGTAATAAATCTTATAGTTTCTTACGTAAAAATAATAAGCAGACAGATAAATCTTAATATAATACTTATATGTAACGAATATATGATATGTACACAGTGTGTAGGCTGTTGCACTATTTCAAACGCAACTAACTAATAAAATAACTAGACTAAAAGCAACATAAAACATGTAATATTATTTACAGTAAATAATTTGTCGCTTTAATGGTAGATAAAATATTTTTTATAAATTAATTTTATGATCAAATGTACGTACATAAATTAGAAGTAAGTAGGTACCTACCTATGTAAATATTTTTATACATACTGTGTGAGTCTAAATAATAAATCTAGTCATACTTAAAGTTCATAGCTCTTTGGTGATTATTTTACTTTGATTCCTTTATATGGTTAAATCTACTTAATATATAATATTTGTGTTTGCGATACAAGTTTATCTTATTAATTCGTTAAAATGCTGTATTTCAACTGTAGCTATACGTTCCGACGAAATGTACGGGAGGACTTTTTATCACTAGTATTTTATAATGCAGAGAATAATATAGACATTTTGAGTAAAATAATTTTATAAAATCTATACATATAATAAAATTGTAACTAAGCCGAATCTGTACATTAAATATTTTTCGGAAAATCTTATTGAAATAAATATTATTATCGATACAGAGGCCTAATCTATAGTTTTTTGAATTTTTGTCTGTCTGTTACCGCATCACAGAAAAGCCACTGGAGAGATTTTGATGAAATTTGGTATGGTGGCTGGTTATCCAGGTCAACATATAGAATCCCCCCCAACGTGCGTTCACCTTGTCGTGGTGGGGGGGCTCAGTAGTGTACTCGCGAAGCCAAGTAACGCACAGGGAGGTGGCCCGCTTCGGTGGGCGGTGGGAGGCGGCCTTCTTCGGAGGGTGGTGTACCATGCGGGTTGCTCCTGGTACTTCTCTGATAGCAGAGTGGACTGTGGAGCAACCCCATGGTTGTGGTGGTCTGCTTCGGCAGACCTGCCGTCGGGGCGTCGTAGTTGAATGCGTAAGCGATCCTGCGACGCCCCATTAAGACGGGGGAAGGTTTTGTTGGGTTTTAGTGGGTAGTACTGGCTGTATTACGCCGGTGAGTCCCACACGTCGTGCGTAAATGCATTTCCCAACGTTAAAAAAAAAGGTCAACATATAGGATACTTTTTACCGCAGGAAAAAGTCTCATTTCTGAGAAAAAATACAAAAACTGCAATATAAGAGTACACCTATACCTACTAATATGTAAAACCTAAGAATTTGGTTTTTGGTCATCTGAACGCGAGCGGAGTCGCGGGCAATGCTAGTATTATATATTTATAATGTTCAAAGTATTAAGACCGCTTCTGATTTAGTTATATTTCTGTCGTTACAAATAAGACAAGCGTAAAATTGTCAATATGAGGTTGTCGGGCGATGTTGCCTAATAGATTCTCTATCTATTCACGACCTGTTTTTTATACTTAAAATATTTTTTTGCAAATATACAGTAGGTAATTGTAAAGGGTAAAAGTACCTTTTCATGAGAGTGATCTCTATCGGTACCGCCTACACGTATTACTCAATATTAATGATGTGATCTTAGCTCAAATGACTCGTAGTTCACTTGACGTATATTAATGATAAGCATTTGTGTCCAGACTCTTCTATTTGGTCACCTATTTAATAGAAGAGTTGACTATTCTAAATTAATGACGGGATGGGTTGATGTGTGCTATTGTCGTTCACTTACTTTAAGTTATATATATATATATATATATGTATATATATATATATATATAAGACGCCATCACGACATTCTTTGCAGATACGTGGTTTAGTAAAGACGGTTGATCATGGTGTAGCATACAGTTTTGCTTTGATATTGTAGTTGGAAGTCGATGATCGGTGACTGTGAACCCGCTAGCTCTAAATCATTAGAATTACCGTTTCAAGTTTATAACATTGTGACTTCTCTGATTAAATTGTGTATTGAGCACTGAATACTTTATTATTTGAGCCCTCATAACGCCCACAAGATGTAACCACCAAAGATGATGTTCGTAGTATATGGATAACACGACATATATATATATATATATTTAGCTTATATTTGGTGTTTTTTTTAGTTTACGTAAATATACGAGTAGGTATATGCATGTTAGCGATTTACCTTCGCTTTGTTCGGGTGCTTCCCTAGGTATTTTTTTAAGCGGAACCCTTATTCTTTTTCTAAAATAAAAGTAGCCTAAGCTATTCCTTATAACATCAGCCAGTGAAAGTTCCGTCAAAATCAGTCCAGCCGTTTTGTAGATTAGCCGGAACAAACAGACAGACACAAAAAATGTGTTTTTTTATAAGTATCGTATATAATTTCATATGCATTTAGTAAAAAGCTGTTATTTTGATATAACCAACGGATATTTCAATTTTTTTTATCTGTGTAGATGTAGAGACGCTCGTGCGCATATGTAAAGATTCATAAGCATAGTTTGTTTATAAATTTCAAATAATATTTGGTTTAAAATAGAATTAAATAAAAAAAAATATTAAAAAAAAATCGGCATATAGCATTGTAGTAGGAGAGGTTGCGTAGTTTTTTACCAAATAATTTTACATTGACTGAAGATCACAGACAGTATTTCACACCGGGACAGCTTCTTGTTTTATATAAAGCTCAAGTCCGGTCGTGTGTGGAATACTGTAGTCACATTTGGGCTGGTGCTGCGAAGTGCCATCTGTCAGCCTTAGACTCAATTGAGAGGCGTGCCCTCAGGCTTATTGGTGACCCTACGCTGGTAAAAGCTAACTTACAAAGCCTCGATCATCGACGTAGGGTTGCCAGCCTTTGTGTATTCTATAGGT